TTTTTATAACACACAAGTGCCAGCGAGTGGCTCTGACAGCCTCGGTGGAGTAGGAAAAAGTGGCCAAAACCACTTCATCCTGTGTCGCTGGGGATGAGGAAAGCCCTGGGGCAGCGGTTGCCAAAGCAGCGAGCGTTTTCACAAGCAGCCCGCAGCCTCCCGGTGCCGGGAAGGGAAACACTCACGGCCGCAGAACTCGGGCAGGGCGGACCAGCGGGAGTTTTTCAGGCACTGCACGGTGTCGGGGAGGAAGGGCAGCTTGGTGTAACCCGGGACACAGCTGTAGGTCACTTTGGAGCCCGCCGCGAAGCTCTGCTGGTGTTTGACATCCTCCGGGGGCTCGGCGTGGCTGATCTCCGGCAGCGGCCCGCAGTCCCCTGCGGGAAAACGAGCGGGGATTTAATGGGGCGGCTTCTGTAGGGCAGGGCAGGGCACGGGGGGACAGGCGGGACACGGAGAGGCGACATGGAGAGGGGACACGGAGAGGGGACAGGGAACGGGATATGGAGAGGGGACAGGGAACGGGACATGGAGAGGGGATGGAGCGGGACACGGAGAGGGACACGGAGAGGGACACGGAGAGGGACATGGAGAGGGACATGGATAGGGGACAGGGAACGAGACATGGAGAGGGGACAGGGAACGGGACATGGAGAGGGGACACGGAGAGGGGACATGGAGAGGGACACGGAGAGGGGACAGGGAACGGGACATGGAGAGGGGACACGGAGAGGGACATGGAGAGGGGATGGAGCGGGACACCAGAGGGGACACGGAGAGGGACACGGAGTGGGGACACGGAGAGGGACACGGAGTGGGGACACGGAACGGGACATGGAGAGGGGACAGGGAGAGTGGACACAGAGCTTACAGGGAGAAAGGGATAGGGGACACAGAGACACACGGGATACATGGAAATAGCACACAAACACACATGGAGAACACACAGGGATAGGGACAGGGGACACACAGACACACATGAGGTACGTGAGAACAGAGCACAGATACACATGGAGCACAGGGAGCGCACAGACACCCACGAGAAACACATACATGAGAAACACACACATGAGAAACACACATATGAACAGGAAAACACACACACGGGTCGCATTCNGGAGAGGGGACACGGAGAGGGACAGGGAACGGGACATGAAGAGGGACACGTAGAGGGGACACGGAGCTTACAGGGAGACAGGGATAGGGGACACAGAGACACATACGGGATACATGGAAATAGCACACAAACACACATGGAGAACACACAGAGACAGGGATAGAGGACACACAGACACACATGAGGTACATGGGAACAGAGCACAGATACACACGGAGCACAGGGAGCGCACAGACACCCACGAGAAACACACACATGAGAAACACACACATGAGAAACACACACATGAGAAACACACACATGAACAGGAAAACACACACACGGGTCGCATTCACACGGATAACACACAGAGCACACACAGAGCACACACTCACACAAGGATGGCACACATTGACATGGGATGACACAGATAACACACGGAACACACGCTCACATGGATAACACACTGAACACACACATTCACACATGGATAACACACATTGACACGAATAACACACGGAACACACACATTCCCACAGGGATAACACACATTCACACAGGGATAACACACGGAACACACATTCACACATGGATAGCACACATTGACACGGATAACACACGGAACACACACATTCACACAGGGATAACACACTGAACACACACATTCACACATGGATAGCACACATTGACACGGATAACACACGGAACACACACATTCCCACAGGGATAACACACATTCACACAGGGATAACACACGGAACACACACATCACACAGGGATAACACACATTGACACGGATAACACACGGAACACGCACTCCCACGGATAACACACGGAACACACACATTCACACAGGGATAACACACATTGACACGGATAACACACGGAACACACACATTCACACAGGGATAACACACTGAACACACACATTCATACAGGGATAACACACATTGACACGGATAACACACGGAACACACGCTCACATGGATAACACACGGAACACACACATTCACACAGGGATAACACATATTGACATGGATAACACACGGAGAACACACATTCACGCAGGGATAACACACATTGACACGAATAACACACGAATAACACACGAATAACACACGGAACACACACATTCACACAGGGATAACACANTGCTCACATGGATAACGCACTGAACACACACATTCACACAGGGATAACACACGTTGACATGGATAACACACTGAACACATGCTCACATGGATAACACACAGAACACACACATTCACACAGGGATAACACACATTCACACAGCGATAACACACGGAACACACATTCACACAGGGATAACACACATTCACACAGGGATAACACACATTGACACGAATAACACACTGAACACACACATTCACACAGGGATAACAAACATTGACACGAACAACACACTGAACACACACTCACATTGATAACACACGGAACACACACATTCACGCAGGGATAACACACATTGACACGAATAACACATGGAACACACACATTCACACAGGGATAACACACATTCACACAGGGATAACACACTGAACACACACTCACATGGATGACACACATTGACACGGATAACACACGGAACGCACACATTCACACAGGGATAACACACATTGACACGAATAACACATGGAACACACACACATTCACACAGGGATAACACACGGAACAAACACATGCACACAGGAATAACACACATTGACACGGATAACACACGGAACACAGGGAACACGGATAACACACGGAACACACACATGCACACAGGGATAACACACGGAACACACACATGCACACAGGGATAACACACATTCACACAGGGATAACACACATTGACACGAATAACACACGGAACACACTCATTCACACAGGGGTAACACATTGACATGAATAACACACGGAGCACACACATTCACACAGGGATAACACACGGAGCACACACATTCACACAGCGATAACACACATTCACACAGGGATATCACACATTGACACAGATAACACACAGAACACACTCTCGCACACCCAAACGCGCTCCGGCGGACGCGGGGAGCACTCCCTCCCGCACGCACGGAACACCCCAGAGCCGGGCTCCCCGCACACCCCATCCCTCCGCAGGGCTCACCCCACGCCGCGGGCAGCAGCAGCAGCAGCAGCAGGAGCGAGCAGAGGCTGCCGGAGCCCATCGCGGGTCACTGCCCGGCAGCAGAGCCACTCCCGCGGCCGGCTCAGCTCCGGGAAATGTCTGACGAAAGTGTGGGGAGTGGGACTGGGTGGGGAAAGAGCGGACACCCCCAGTCACGCCCGGCATCCCAAGGATCCCGCTGCCTCCGCCTCTCCTCCAGAGCTGCCAAATCCGCACGGGAAAAGCCGCAAACCAAAAAGGGCAGGGAGGGGAATGTGTCCTGCCACCCCGAGGAAAGGGCAGCCCGCAGCAGCCGACCTGCACCTTCCTGCTTCCTTTCGTTATCCAGAAAACAGTGGTGTTTCCACCGAGAAGCTCAAATCTCTTTGATTTTACTTTTTCTTTTTTTCATTTCTACTTTATTTTCCTTTCCAATACAATTCAAGCTCCAAGCAGATTTAACAAAAGCATTTACAAGGAGACCCAGAGGAGTTTTCCCAAAGGAGGAATCCAGCACCCTGGATAACACATTCCTTTAAAATACAGATAAATTACACAGAAATAACCTTGGCCGCCTTTTTATAATGCCTCAATGAGCATGGTGGCTGCATAATAGAAAACACGCAAAAGGAGAAAAAAAAAAAACCACGCTTTAAATTATGTGCAGTTGTCCTGAATTAGTTTAAGGCAGCGACTTTGGCATAGGGCAGCATGATGGTGACAAGTGTTTGGCAAAGACTCGGGGCGATGCTGAGCCCACCACAGAGCCCAGAGCTCGGCCAAATCCCCTTCCTAACAGGCTGAACACCTGAGCCCGGCTTTTCTYCCTCTTGAGGAGCCAACAGGAGCCGTCTGTCCCACCCTCCCGGCCGCCAGCTCAGCGCTGTCCCTCTGGTGCCACATTCTCTGCCCGTTTTGTCGCCGGAGCTGCGGCTCCTCCCCGATAGCAGCTGAACCCCCCCGATAGCAGCGCTGTGCCTGCCCTTATCGGGGCCCCACATCCCTCCCTGAACCGCAGGGATCGGGCAGGGAGCAGGAATGGGGCCCCACATCCCTCCCCGAGCCGCAGGGATGGGACCGGGCACGGGCAGGGAGCAGGAATGGGGCGGCGGGACGCGTCCGGCAAAAGCTGTCACCAAAAAAAACAGCGCCCGAGCTGCTGGAGCTGCTCCAGGCTCCCCAGAGCCGCTCAGCCTCAGCTCCCCGAACCTTCTGGAACCGAGCCTGGGATCTGCCGGGGCTGAGCCACTTCACGGGGGCTGCAGGGCTCAGACCCGGGCAGGATAAATGGGATTAAGGGAGGTGTAACTCCAGCTCCTTTTCCATTCCGTTTACCAGGAACACATTCCCACACATTCCCGCATGGATTTGCTCTCCTTCTTTACTATGCTTTTTTTTAACTTGCCTTGGATGGCATTTAGAAAATAAATATTCAGAGCACTGATAAAGAACTGACGAAACATCGAATCCAATCTTTGCTAGGATATACCTAAAAGCTGATATTCCCGAAAAAGAGAATAAAATACGACAAAGGAACATCAGGAAGTTGAATTCACAGACTACCCTTTATAAACAATTACCACTTATTATTAAATATAAATAAAAAGCCAGAAAGGCTTTGGGATTTTAGGTCTGTACGGGACAAAGATGGGGGAAGCAGCCAGAAGAATGAACGCAGCTTTTCCATTCCCTCTGCTGCAGGGTGAGAGCACCGGGGAGGGTTTTTAGGATTTGTTTCCGTGTCTCTGTGTGCTCCCAGCATGGCTGAGCTGCTTCCCTCCCTCTGGAAAGCAGAAGTGGCTTCTTTTCGTCATGAGATTAGAGATGCCCGCCCCACGGGTGGCTTTATCTTCCTGTAGTAGAAATAAAAACTGCGAGGAACCTTGGGCTGAGATGAAAACGAGCTTTTGCTAAAGGAAGGGCTTAAACCACTCGAGATACAATGATCAAAAAATGTAATATCCCAAGTACTGTGATTTCCTGAAAGCAATGAGCTCAGAACCYTGCAGGACAGGGCAGTGGTTTAATGCTGGTGGCATTTCCAGCCCCACCAGCAACTGGACCCACCCTGGATCAGCTGCAGCCGGGAATTCCGGGGGAGTTGASGGAGGATGAGGCTGTGTTTATTTTGGGTTTGTTGTGGTGTTGCCAGTGAGCAGAAAACCCGCGGGCCTGGAAACCCAGCATAGGCTGGGTGTGAATGAACCCGGCTCGGGAGAAAGCTCTGCCCCAGGGCTGGGGGTTTTTGGGACAAGGCAGCCTCAGGAACACCGGTGGGACCTGCAGGGATCACAGCAGAGCGGGGATGATGGAAAACAATCGCTGAAAGGAAAACTCGGRTGGGAGGAGCAAATATGGAAACCGGCCAATGCTTGCAGGAGAGATTTTTAATCGATGTATTGGACTGCTAAATTGCTAACAAATTATCTTTAATAGGTRGGATAGGCCTGGTTTGGGTCATCCTTTATCTTAAAGCAAAGTGTAAGAGCCCTAATAAGTGTGACCATTGCATGGGGCACTTTTGGAACAGATCAGGAAMGGTGAAAAATTTTCTGGTTTTGACCCAAGAGACAAAACTCAGGSATGGGCAAACTCAGCTTGACCCTGGCACCACAGAAACGCTTCTCACCATCCCCCAGATGGGCACTGAGACCCTCCCGTGGGTGATTTATCTTCTCTACTCACAAGAACACACTCACAGCTCCACAGAGACAACACTCACCCTTTTTTCATGGATAAAATAACCCTTTGCAGCGGGTGGGGAATCTGGAGGAGCAGCATTTCCACCATGTCCAGCTCCTCCTGGCTGCCCACGATGTTCCTGTGTGGGACAAGGTTGGCATCAGCACCTCGGAGCAAGGGCAGGAGCCCTGGCACAGGCACAAAGTTATCTCT